TTCCATTCAGTGACTTGGATTTAATAAAACCAAACACTCCAGCATGCTCCGATTGATTGATTGCATGTACAATAAAGATCTGAAGAATATAGATATCATCATTAAGGCCTTGATCTCCACAAACCATAAAATTTGAGTCAAATCTGGGTGGAATATTGCAAGATCTGAGACTTTACAGGTAGCACTTCCACATCAAAAAACATCAGAAGTAGTCACCTTTGAGGAAAGACTAATATCAAATCCTTATATAAGAACAACTTACTGCCTCACTTACAAGAACTGTATGACTGGGGATATAGATGTATTACAGCTGATCAACACCATAGTTTACTATCAGAACATCAAGATATCTTCTCCAGTGGACCTCATGACTTAAATAAAACAAAAGATTGATACTAGAAATGCAGCCAGTACATCAGTTAGCCAGACGACACCCACTTGCAAAACAGGCTGAGGCATCCAAAAAGATTGAAACCACGAAGGAATAAGGAGTGATAGAACCAAGTACTAGTCTGCCCTTGGGTATCACCTATTTTATTTGTGAAGAAGAAGAAGAAGGATGCCTACCCACTACTAAGGACTGACTCTACATTGAATGTTCTATCTGGATCAAAGTATTTGATCTTAAAAGTAGATATTGGTAATTTCAAAATAAGCAAAAAGACAAACTTTACTGTGGGAAAAGGACTGTGGACATTTGTTTTGTTACCATTTGGGTTATGTAACGCACCTGTTGCATTTCAATGTTTAATAGTATGTGTTTCATCTGAACTATAAAGGAATGTCGTTCTGATGTACTTGGATGACATAATTGCACATGGAAGGACCTTTTGTTTTGTGTATGATGGTCAAATGGAAGTTTTGAATCAGTTGAAGAAAGAAAACCTACAGCTAAATCCTGAAATGTTTGAATTCTTCCATCAATATGTAAGTTTCCTGGGACATAGTTAGCAGAGAGGAAGTGTCTACAGATCCATCGAAAATTGACTCTGTCCAGAATTGGCCAACACTAAATAATTTACACGTGGAAGTAGGATTTTCTGGTCTATGCTCTTACTTATGTCATTTTGTAAAATCATTGTCCTATGTAGCTCATTCTCCATATAAACTATTGAAAAAGCCAAATAAGTTCTGTTGGATTGCTGATTATGAACAAGCATTCAACAAACTGAAAAAAAGCATTGAACATTACTCCTGTATTAGCATATGCAACTCTACAAGATCCACTAATTTTAAATTCAGATACCAGTGATCTTGTAGTGGAGGTAGTTTTGTGACAAGTATAACATGTAAAAGAACGTGATTTCCTACTATAACAAAACAATGAATGCCACAGAAAAAAGCTACCAAATGTTATTCGAGACATAAGTGATTTCCACCATTACCTATATGGGCTAATGTTTCCACTTTGGACAGATAATGCAGCATTGAAGTGGCTGATAAATTTTCACAATCTGGAAAGCCAGATAACAATATTGTTCTAAAAAAACTATAGGAACACAACTTTAACATTGGGTATCACCTTGGCCAGAACCATAGAAATTCTAATGCATTATCCTGAAGACTATGTTTTACCGAATATTGTAAACGCTATGAAGAGAGAGAAGAAGAAGAGAGTAAAGATAATAAAGTACAACAGAGTATAATCCAAGATGAGCCATACACAAGTGATGATGAAGATCTCGTGGTCCAATATTCAACTGAAAGTTATTCAGTTAAAAATATGAGTTTGAAACTAATTATCCAGTGGATCAAGAATAGTGCAGAAAACCCTAATGGCAAACAGTTGCTCTCTGCAGAGTGAAGACAAAGATGTACTGGGCATAATAGGATTCACTATGTTTGCAAGCGGGTTTGTTATTTAGGAAATGGAAAGATACAAGTGGACAGAAATAATAATTCCATTCTGAAGCACTCCATCATCTTCACAATCTTCTTATGGCTGAACACTTATGTGTTAAGAAGACCCTAAGTAAGTAATGAATGCTGCTATTGGGTTTAGTGTCATGAATCTGTAGAGAATAGGTTTAAGACATATTAACTATGTTGTAAATGAAAAGGTCAATGAAAGAAACAGCATGGGCAGCTACAGCTGTATTGTGTTGGAGCACCACTTGAGAGAGTTGCTGTCGATATGCTCAGAGTAACAGTGGGCATAAATACACCATGGTTGTGACGAAATATTTAGAAGCATATGCTATTCTAACCAAAGTGCAGAAACTCTAGCAAGGAAGCTCGTCAATGAATTTGTTTCAATATTTGGCATGTCTATGGAACTTCACTCTGATCAGGGATGAAACTTTGAATCAAAATAATTTGCATAAATGTGTCAGATCATTGGGATTAAAAAGACCAGGACAACTGCTCTTCGTCCATCTTCTGATCACATGGTAGAGAGATGCAATAACATACTGTTAAATCAATTAGTCATTTATGTGTATAAATATCAGAAAACGTTAGACCACTGAACAAATATATAATTACCTAGATTTTGTCCTATATCCCCTTGTCACCTTTCTTCCCTCCTACGTCAACTACCCCACCAATGTTCCAAACTTTCTTAAAGACTTTCATCACACAAACCCGTAACTTACATCTTTACGAGGAATATACGGTCCCTGTACAACATTATTCTTCACAATGGAGCCATGCTAACTGAAATATTTTTTGAACAAACAATATACTAAATTTCCCACCACCGAAACCTTCCTTCAACTCGCAAAATTAGTTCTCACAATGAATACTTTCGAATTCAACGAATTCGAAGGTATTCGTTATATTTCCATGGGTTCAAAAATGGGTCATTCCCTCTCTCATCTATTGGTTGGCTACCTCGAGAAACGCCTGTATGCTATTTTGGATAATACTTTTCCCGACCTCTTTATCCGTTACATTGCCGATATCTTAGGTATTTTTCCATGTACTAAACCCCAAGTGGAGAAGTTCATCAATTTTGTCCACCTAACCCTTAAATACACTTACAAAATCCTGATACCAATGCCTCATTTCTGGACATCAAAATCCACATTTCTTCTTACTCTCTTAAAACCACTGTACACTACAAAGACACTGATAGTCACGCATACCTAGATTATCGCTCCTTTCATCCCTACAAAACCAAGGCTGCCATTCTTAAAGAGCAGTTCACAAGACTGAGACGCTTATGTTCTGAGGACCAAGACCTTCTCTCCAAAACCACTGAAATGGCAGGATTTTTCAACAACGTAACTTCCCGGCCGATACCATCAAAATGTCCACAACCATATTCAATAAAATCCAACCTGAGGAAAAAAAGATAACATGGTAAAACCCCTTGCTTTCATATTCCATCCCCTCAACAGATTAACAGCCAATATCATACAAAAAAAATTAAATTACTGATGACTGATCTTATCATTGCCGAAATATTTACTACACTTCCCTCGTTTCTTCTAGACGTAATCCTAACTTCGAAGACTACTTGGTGGATTTGAAGTTACGGAACACCCCCTTCCCCACATACCCTCCTATTTTTGGAACCTATCGTTGTACTAGAAAAATGTGTCCCTAGTTGCACTTTTCATGTCAGGAGACATTATGCCTATACGTCAGAATGCGTTATTTAGTGTATCCAGTGCAGCG